GAGGGGAGTCATCCTGACCTGGGATTCTCCAAACCACTCAGTGACAATCACACAGAGACATGGCTCTCAGGATTCCTTCCCTTCTCCTCCCGCCTCCCTCCTCCCCCACCCCCCTCTCTTGTGTTAGGGCTTGAACTTAGGACCAGGATGCTATCTCTGAGCTTTTTCTGTTCAAGGCTGATGCTACTACTGGATCTGCAGCTCCACTTGCGGTTTTTTTGTTTTTTGTTGCTGGTTAACTGGAGACAAGAGTCTCACAGATGTTTCTGTCCCAGCTGGCTTCGAACCTCGCTTCTCAGATACCAGCCTCCTGAGTAGCTGGGATTATAGGGGTGACCACAAGCACCCGGCTTCTGCTATTTCTCATAATTGTACCTGAGTCTGTGGTGATCAACAATGACTAAAATTTTAAAAGGCCTCAGTAACACACACATATATGTATATATAACATATATACACACGTGTAGGTATACATAGCATATAATAACACGTATATATTTATATATAATTCAAAGGCATGCCCCAGAACTACCTTTGTGCCCCCAGGTACAAGCACCCTGTGGAGCTCAGTGGTTAAGAACGTTGTGTCTGGGATCAGAGCTCCTGGATGGGGGTCCTGCGACCCCATCGACTGCTCACCCTGGTGGAACCACCCCGCAGATGGGGTTCAACCACCCTGAGCCTCAGTTTCCTCATGTGTAGAATGGGGATAAAGGAAGTCCCTGCCTTGTGGGAGTGCTGCCCCAGGAAAGAGAAAAATCGAGGTGAACGTGTCGTACCCCAGTCGCAACACTTCCCCAGGCTCTTCTAGATCCCCATAAAAACCCAGTGGAGGGGCTGGGCACTGGTGGCTCACGCCTGTCATCCAGCTACTCAGGACAGAGGTTCAAAGCCAGCCTGGGCAGGAAAGTCTCTGAGATTCTGATCTCCAATTAACCACCCAAAAGAGCCAAAAGTGGAGAGTGCCAAAGAGTGTAGTAGAGTGCCAACAGCTCATTGTAGCACCAGGCCCCGAGTTCGAGTCCCAGGAGCCCCCCCCACACACACACTCAAAACCCACTGGAGGAACTAGCATCAGCAGCAACCTTCCAGGCTGGCCGAGCTAGCTCAGTGAATCACCATGGCAACCTGAAGGCGGGGCCTGGTCTTCCCCAGTTATTCAGGAGCAAAGCGTTCAGCACAAGGTTACGGAGGCCTGGTTTGAACTCCAACAGCAAGACGCTCAAAGCCAGCATGGTGGCCACCACAGCCTTCCTGAGAGGGGACCAGATTACCCTCCCCCCATCCAGGAACCAGGAGAACACGGCATCTCCTCCTCGCTAGCTAGCTAGCTCCGCCCCAGCGTCCCAGACCCCTGAGCTCCTACCACCCACGAGCGGTGCAGCGGGACAGGCCCAGGGCGCAGCCGGCCCCGCGGGGAGGCAGTCCTGGATTGGGTGGGTGCCTCTTCTCTAGCTTGGAGGTTCTGGGGATACCCCGCCCCGTCTTCGCGGTCTTCCTGGCCTGACACTCACTGTGCACCAGCAGGACGACGTCCCTACGGTCCTCGCCCACGGCGCTCACAGCCACACAGGAGTAGCTGCCAGAGTCGGACGCCTGAGCACTGGCCAATGCGAGGACCCGGCCCCCAGGGAAGACCTGTGGGGCACGTGGAATCCCCGTGAGATGAGGAAGAGCGCCAGAGGCCAGGCGCACCTGGACGGCCGGGCCGGGACGCCCTGGGGTGCCCACGCGGCACCCTGCCCTGTGACCCGGAGAGCCACAGCGCCACGGCCACGTGTGACCAGGGTCCCCTTGATACGTGGCAAGCGCACCATTCCTAACAGAGCTCAACGTGAGTGTGAAAAAAACAACGAAGCCAGGCGCCAGTGGTAACGCCTGTAATCCCAGCTACTCAGGAGGCTGAGCTCTGAGGCACTGGTTCAAAGTCCAATGAACTCCCAGAAAGCTGGAAGTGGATGGAAGTGGTGCTGTGGCTCACAATGGAAGAGAGCCAGCCTTGGGCAAAAAAACCCTAAAAGCTCAAGGGACAGCACCCAGGCCCTGAGTTCAAGCCCCAAGACCAGCACCAAAAAACAAGAATCCCAAAAAGAAAGAAAAACGCCTTATTCATGATCTTTATATTGCTTCTATGACAAACAACCTCAGAAATATTAGATTAACTAATACACTGAAATTGATATCATCTATTTGTTTTGCATTCATTTAATGTAGCCACAAGACAACTTCAACTGGCATCTGTGAAATGCATATTCCCCCTCTCTCTCCTTCCTCCCCTCCCCCTCCCCCTCCCTCTCCCTCTCCCCCTCCCTCTCCCCCTCTCTCTCCCTCTCCCTCTCCCTCCCTCTCCCTCTGTGCCAGTCCTGGGGTTTGAACTCAGGATCTGGATACTGTTCCTGGGCTTTTTTATTCGAGGCTGGCATTCTACTACTTGAGCCACAGCCCCACTGTGTTAGATCTCTGCTGGGCAGTGTCCCCCTCGCCCCGTTCCCAGGGCCTGACCTGGGGGAGACTCCAGCACAGCGAGCCAGGCCCACCCAGCCCCACTGACCTGGAGCCCAGGGGTCCCCGTGGCAGACACAGGCTTTCCATCCTTCAGCCACACCAGCGTGGGGCTGGGGGCACCGGTGGCGTTACAGGTCAGCCGGACGGGGGCACCAAGCCGGACGGGGCCTGGCAGGCTGGGAGGCCGCGTGATTCGGGGGGGCACTGCAGGGCGAGGGGGGCACCGGACACGGCTGAGCCCCGTGGGGGTGGCACGGGCTGAGCGCGCAGGAGCGACATCACACACCAAGGCCTGGGCCGGCAATGGGGACCCAGCCAGCCGTGCCTCGGTGCCCCCCCAGAACTAGAGACTAAAGGCTTCTGCTGATGGGAAACAGGCTCAGCCAGAGCAGCAACAGCCAACTTGGGCTCGGGGACCCCTCCCCACGCAGGGGTCTCCGAGGAGACGATCTTATGGGAAGTCCCTCCTGGGCAGAATGATGCTAGAAGATTCCATCACAGCTGCAGGGTGTGAGCCCCTCACCCCTTCCCGGCTGCCCTCTGTGCTCCCGCTCTCAGGATAAAGACCATCCTCCTCCATGGCTCCAGGGGGCCGCCAGCACCACCTTGGACCCCTTCTCTTATTCTGATTCACAGTCTTTCCGTCTCTTTGATTGCAGTTTCTGTGGGCTCGAGCCTAGCAGGTCTCTGTCTAGGCACCTCACCTCGCTGTGCGCCCCAGTATGTAAACCTGGTGTGTTGATTTGCTCTTGCCACAATTATGCAATGAGCAATGACTGATTACTGGTCCTGTCACCAGAATGCACACCCCTGGGTCTTTCCTAGGCAGGGCGTCAGTGCCGGTCTTTCCCAGAGCACAGGTGCAAAAATGTGGTCAGTTAGAAAACAGAAAGAAGAAGAAATAGGTGCTTAGATGGGTGGGTTGGATGGATGGATGGATGAATGGATGGATGGATGGATGGATGGATGGATGATGTCTGAGAACCTGCATGTATAAATGGAAGGAAGGTTCAATGGTAGAAGAACGGAAAGTTATTTGGGATAAATTAGTTGAATCAATTGATGGACAGTGGTATGAACAAATGGAAGGATGACTAGATGACTGGATGGGTGGAAAACGAATGGATAAATAAATAGATGAGTGGTAAGTAGTAGATGGGAGGTGATGAGTGAATGGATGGATGAGTGGTAGGTATGTGGTAGGTGAGTAGACAGAGAAATGGGTGCACAGGCAGACAGATAAATGGATGGTAGGTGGGTGAAGAGACGGTGGAAAGATGAGTGGTGCACAGAAAAATGGATAGGTAGGTGGCAAAGGGATGGAGGGATGACCGTAGATGGGTATGGCTGAATGTGTAGATGCGTGGGTGGATGGATGGGTGGGTAGATTACGAGTAGCTACATGGATGGGTGAATGGGTGGACAGAGGGGTGGATGGTGGATAGATTAATGGATGGTGAATGGATCTGTAGGTGTTGGATGGACGGATGGCTAGATGGATGGATGAATATGTGTATGTACATGTGTGAATGGCTGGCTGGATGAATGAATGGATGTGTAGACAGCTGGATGAATGCATGGGTAGACAAGTGGCTATGTGGATGAGTGAACGGGTGGAGAGATGAATGGAGGGACAGACGGAGTAGATGGTGGATAGATAGATGGGTGGTGGGTGGCGAATGGATGTGTGGGTGGATAGATAGATGAGTAAATGGATGGACAAGCAGACAGATGAGTGGTCAGACAGATGTGTAGACAAGTGGAAAATGGACAGATGAATAAGAGTAACTGACAAATGGAATACAAGACAACCTCTGGGGAAAGGGCCTCCGTAGACCCAGGACGGCTCACCATTGACCCGCAGGCCGTATTGCAGCTCGGTGCTGCCCGCCACGTTGGCTGCCACACAGCGGTAGCTGCCGGCGTCTGCGAGCTGGGCACGCTCAATGTGCAGCGTTCTACCATCGGCTGACACCGCCAGCCCAGCCCGGGCGGCAGCAGGCTGGCGGCCTTTGAACCATGAGACATCTATGGGAAAAGAGAGATCTGGAACCTGCTGGCACAGAAGCCTTCAAGGAAGCTTCCTGAGTTGTTTGGGAAGAGCATGCTGCCTGAAGACCAGAAGGGGGCCCGGGCGGCTGGGATTAGGGAGAGGCAGGCGGAGTTAGGCCGTCTCCTGCCTCCACCCAGAGGAGACCAGGCTCGGGGAGGCTCTAGGGAGAGTATGGTCCACCCACACAGCAGGCCCACCTTGCGCAGGGGCCTCACCCCTACATACCACCTGGAACTTGCTGGGGCTCCGTGGGGGAGCACCCCCAGGGAGCACTGGCTGGTGTGGGGCTGCTGGGCCTCCCTCCTGGATCCCCCACAGTGCAGGGGCTGGCCGGTTTCCCATAAGACCGTAGCAGGGTGGGGCAGAGCTCTTGCTGGGCTTATTCAGTGGGAACTGGGGTAGGCAGGAAGCGGGGTGCAGCCAAGTAGGGGGACTTTTACCAGGAGGGGGTACACCTGAAGCCAGACACTCCAAGGTAACCGAGGTATTCTCCAGCACGGCCTTGTTGATGGGCCCTGGCTCAATGTTGGGGGGCACTGGGGGAGACAAGGAGAGACTATGCTTGGTGGGCGTGAAGCCTGGGCACCTCCCATCCCAGCCTCCCTGGGGCTCCCTTTGCCCCCGTCTTCCCAAAGGGTCCTGGCAATGAGGCTTCACAAAGACCATGTCCTGCACCAGGAGGCCCGTGCATGCGTACAGAACATGCCCAAGACCACGTCCTGGACCAGGAGGCCCGTGAATGCGCACGGAACGAGACCAAGACCATGTCCTGGATCAGGATGACAGGCGTGAGCCGCCGGCCCCCAGCTTCCTGAGGCTCTTTATACTCTATCACTTGAGCCACAGCGCCACTTCCGGTTTGTGAGAGGCTAATTGGAGCTAAGAGTCTCACAGGGGCTTTGAACGAGCCACACACCTGGCTAAGGCTTTAACACAAGTGCACCATGGGTATTTCAAAACTCTCCTCCCCCTCCCAACCTGAGCTGCCAGTCGCAAGGGCGGTCCAAGGATCGGCCCCAGGCCCCGCCCCAGGCCCCGCCCGGCTGGTGCCACACCCTCACCCAGGACCTTCAGTGCCACATCCATCTTGCTCTCCCCCGCCAGGCTGGACGCAGCACAGGTGTAGATGCCTTCGTCCCTCAGGTCTGCTTTCTCGATCTGAGGGGAGGAGGGGGAGAGGAGCCAAGGACTGGGGGACAGGCGGAGCAAATGAAGGACGCAGAGCGACCCTTGGGGGCAATGCCAGCGCAGCTCTGGGAGGGTGTGATGGGCCGAGTGCCCAAATTCAGGATGATCCTCAGACCTGTCTCCGTGTCTTCCCACGACCCTAGGACCTGAAGCCAGCTGAGGCCCCTCCTCTTCCAGGCCAGCGTGCCCGTGTCCCCTGAGCATGCCCCGGCTGAGAGGACTCTGTGCCTGCCCAAGCTCGCCCAAGGGCTCCAGGACCCCAGAAGACTAGCCCCCCTCCTCATGTGCCAGCTGCCCCTGAACGTACCTGGAGGTGGCCCCCCGAGGTAGCCAGGGCCACCCCGTCCTTCCACCAGCGGAGGCTGGGGGGAGGCACGCCAGCCCCCACACACTGGAGGGTCACAGGCTGCAGGAAGGCGGCTGTGAGGTTCTCCCCTCCGACGATGTACACCGACGGCGGCTCTGTGAGCAGTCGGGAAGGACCGGGTCGGCCGGCACCCAGCAGCCCTCTAACAGTGGAGGGCTGGCCTCCATCTCCCTCGGATCCAGAGAGCCAGCAGGGCAGTTCTTTCCCTTTCAAAGTTCTATCCACGCACTTACTCCCCCTGCATCCGTCAATCAACTCATCCCCCACCCGTCCACCCACCCATTCACACAGCCATCCACTTACCATCCTCCAATCCACCTATGTATCCAATCACCCATCCATTCATCCATTTACCCACCCACCCCCACCCGTCCCTCTTCCCCTCCATCAATCCACTCATCACTTACCTGTTCATCCACACCTCCATCTACCCACCCATCCACTAATTACCGATTCATCCACTGTCCCCAGTATTCATCCATCCATCCATCCATCCTCCATCCAATCAAACGTTCTTCCAGTCATCAATCCGTCCATTCACCCAACCACCCATGTGTGTTCGCATGCGTGCTGAACATCTACTCTGCATAGAACTGTTCTAGGCCCCTAGATACACCAGAAAAAAAGCTCACAGGGCTCAAGTGGTAGAGCACTCGCCTTGAGCTGAAGAGCTCAGGGACAGCATGCAGGCCCAGAGTTCAAGCCCCACAACTGACCCCCCCCAAAAAAAAGAACTGAGGGAAGCTCCAAGTGGAGAAGAGGGGGCTGGGCAGGACAGATGACAAGTACAGTAAGAATCTGGGCCGGAGCCGGGTGCTGGTGGCTCCGGCCTGTCATCCTAGCTACTCAGGAGGCTGAGATCTGAGGATCACAGTTCAAAGCCAGCCTGGGCAGGAAAGTCTGTGAAACTCTTATCTCCAGAAAATCAGAAGTGGCGCTGTGGCTCAAGTGGTAGAGCGCTCACCTTGAGCTGAAGAGCTGAGGGACAGCGCCCAGGCCCAAAGTGCAAGTCCCACGACCGACCACCACAACAAAAAAGAATCTGGGCTAGCCCTCGCATTACAGGGCCCAGAAGTGCCACGCAGTGGGGACTGCCCCTAGCCCTCCCCGTCCCCCAGCACCCACGCCAGCCTCCGGACTTCCCGCCACGGCGGAGCCCGGGCACCCACTCACCATGCACGGTCACCTCCACCTCGGCCCCCGCTGTGCCCGCATCGTTGGTGGCCTGGCAGGCGAAGAGGCCTGCGTGGCTCGGCTCTACGCGGCCGATGTGCAGTGCGGTCCCCTGCGGGCTCACTTGCACCCCGGCCAGCTCCTCCGCCCGGCGGCCGTTCTGCAGCCACCTAAGGTGGGCGGAGAGGGGTGGGGCTCGACCTTCCCCACCCAGCACCCTGCCAGGCCCTGCCCCCCCCCATGTGCCCTGTACGCACTGGACGCTGGGCATCGGGGATCCCGAGACCCGGCAGGGCAGATTCAGGGACTGTCCGGCGATGGCGGTCACCTGACCCACGCCTTCAGCCACCAGGAGCTGCGGGGGCACTGACAGCGGGACCGGATGTTAGCAAACCCCTGCTTCACCTGGCCCCCTCCCCCGGGGCTCCCCCTAGTGGGCTTTCAGTGGCACCGCAGGGCCGGCCAGGCTCACCCTGCACGTCCAGGCTGTACTGCAGCACGGCCTCGCCGGCCACGCTGCTGGCCACGCAGCTGTAGAGGCCCTGGGACGCCTCCCCGGGGAGGTCCAGCCGCAGCGTGCCGTCCGCCTCCAGCCACGTGCTGTTGCTCGGTGTCACCGGCAGCCCCTCGTGCTGCCAGGAGAGGGCGGGGGGTGGACGGCCTCTGGCCACACACTCCAGTGCCACGGGCCTCCCAGCCATGGCCTGCACCGCGTACGGCCCTCCGGCAGCACCCTCGATGGTGGGTGGCACTGGGGAAGAGGCAGGGGCTGCTCAGGGACCCCGCAACCCGCAGGAATGCTCCCCTGGGCTGTGTCCCTGCCCAAACCGCGCCTCCTCCTGGGCGCCTGTCCCAGACGCTGGCTGGAAGGTTCTCAAGAGCTCATCGTGAGCAAGCTTGTGTCCCCGCAGATGTCTGGGACACACCTGCACCCAGGTGGCTGGCTTTTGGGGGACTGGAGTTGACAGTCACAGTCAGTAGGAACGAACTTCTTGGGTGTCAGTTCTGGGCACAGAACTCAGGGCCTGGGCACCGTCCCTGAGCTTGTTCAATATTCAAGGCTGGCGCTCCACCGCCTGAGCCACAGATCGGCAAGTTTCAAACAGGGCCCACCGCCCACAGAGGACTGGCTGGAGCAGGGAGCTTCCTTCCTGAACTTGGTGGGGGAGGGGACGCCCCAAGGTGAAGCTGACAGCCATGACTGGGGACATGGGACACTCAGGGACTGGGATTCAGGGTGCTTCTCAGCCTTCTGTATGCCGAGGTCCTTGAAAATGACAAACACCCTGATTTCCATGCCTTTTCCAGGGACCTCAGATCCCCAAACGAGATTTCCTCAGGCAGCAGCGGCCGCCATCTGCCCGCACACAGCCCTCCTTCCCAGCTCCAGCACCCAAGCCCCGGCCATCTGCAGGACCAGCGTGTCCACGCCACAACATCACTGCAGGCCACAGGAGGGGGCCCCATGGGGCGCGCCTGCCATCCCAGCTACTCAGGAGGCGGAGATCTGAGGATGAGGAGATCTGAGGATTCGGATGCTGATTCTCCCAGCTGGGTGCAGGCCAAGCCCTTCCCAGTGCCCTCTGGGGACACAAAGGCCTCTCAGCAACAGGTGATGACTAGGCGGGCCGTCAGGGCCCCTGGAATCCTGGGAGTCATTAACTCCATGTAGTTAATTAGCAGTCTTTGTGGCTCCTGGCAGCTGCAGGCCCCGCCTCGCCCCACCCCCGCCCGGTCCTTGCGTGGGGGAAGCAGGAACGCTGAGACCTCTCCCCACCAAGCGCGGCCTGCCACGCACCAGGCCACCAGGCCACGATCCTCCCTCGCTGCCTTTCAGAGCCGGGCCAAGGATACCTCGGTGTCCTCAGTTCCTGCCGCCCCGCGCCCGCTCTCCGTGCCGCTACGGCTGCTCACCATACACCTCCAGCCGCGTGGCCTTCTCGGTGACGCCCGCGGGGTTGCTGGCCAGGCAGGTGTAGAGGCCGGCGTCGGAGGCCTGGGCCCTGCCCAGCTGCAGCTGCCGCCCGCCCCGGGCG